TGGGAAGGCGGAGGGGTCCCGCGCCTCTGAGGCTTTGCTCTGGCAAAGCCTCAGCAGCGCGGCACCCCGCCGCCGCTGCGGCTTTGCTCCCCATGTCCCTGGTCTGCTGGGGTGGGGGGACGCAGCTAGTGTGCCCCCCTCCCCCCAGCAGACCAGGCTTTTGTTGTGGACCCTGGGGTAGAGCAACTGGGGTGCTGCCGGGTTGGTCCTGCAGGGACCTACCTGGCAGCCCAGCTGTTCTGTCCCAGGCTCGAGATTCTGCCTCCAGCTTCCTGTAGTCAGCCCCTGGTCAGTTTCAGCAGCAGCGGCTGAATCTGGAGCCAGTTCCGACTTATATACAAATTCAACTTAAGAACAAACCTATAGTCCCAATCTTGTACGTAACCCGGGGACTGCCTGTATATTGTGCCAGCTCTGTGCAGGTAGCTAGCATAACAGACTTCATGAGTCTGTTATGAAGACCACAGACTCAGATAAGATATGAATGCATCTGAGTCAGGTTTAAAATCGTTGGTAACCAAGATGGCATCCAAGCCCCTATGTGTCTGTACCTATGACAATGGAAACGGCTTACTCAATAGTATGGATTTCACTATTGCCCCCTAGTCTGGACAAAGAGCTAAGTTGAAATACCCCAACATTTATAGACAGAGAAAATTTATGATACACACCGTATGTATTGTCTTACACATTAATGACATGTTTAGTACCTCCCCTTGCACTTTCCTCCAAAGCATTCCTGTTTACCACCTGTTGTTTCAAACTATTTTATCATGTACTATGTTGGGATGTCCTTGTACTGTCCTGGAGGAATGTATTTACATAATTCATGTGCTTTTAGCAGTCCTAGTGCCAAAAGACACTGACTTGCAGGCAAACATCTGCTTTTGACAAGGTCTGTCTGTTACTATGGCTATGTCTACAATACAGGGTTTTTGCACAAAACCAGCTGTTTTTGTGCAAAAACCAGCAGAGCATTCACTCCTCAAGTGCATTTTTGTGCTAGAAAATTTACAGTCGGTCAACAAAACAGAGGGCTTTTAGCGGTGTAGGTATTACTTCCTTCTATGAGGCATAACTTCTTTTTGTGCAAGAGTTCTTGCGCAAAAAGGTGTGTGTGGATGCTCAACAAGGGTTTCTTGCGCAAAAAGAGCCTATCACAAAAAACACAGGTGCTCTGATTGCCATTCACAGAATGGGAATCAGAATTTTCTTGTGCAAGAGAGTGTCCATGCAGTGTGGACGCTCTCTTGTGCAAAAGCACATCTCTTTTGCAATGTGCTTTTGAGGTGTGGACGCGCTTTTGCACAAGAAGTTTTTGCGGAAGATTTCTTCCGCAAAAAGCTTCTTGTGCAAAAACCCTGCAGTGTAGACAAAGCCTCATAGTAGAACTCTTGCTTATTTTGGCTCAGGCACAAGGCCCATGCTTTAGGCTTTCTTTCTTTCTCTTACATAAATCACTGACTAAATTGCATGTGAAAATTTGATGATGATGGTTATTTCTGAATTCAATTACACGATAACTTAAGATGAACTTGAAAATTTAATTACTAAACAATTTATTATAACCAGCACCCTTTTCGGTACTTTATTTGAATTTTAGAGAGCAATTAACTTAAATAAATGTGAGGACTATACTATGTGCAAAATGAGAGATCTATTGCATATCCTGTAAAAAAAAAGGCATTATATATAAAACTAGCTGGAGTTACCCAGCGTTGATCGGGAAACCAGAGGAACAAAATGTAGAAAAACAGTAGTCCATTATCTTTTTTTGAATGGTAGAAAAGTTGCACTGATTTCTATAGGGATTAAAATATTGGTCCGTGTCATCCCCCGGGCGGGGAAGGGGGTTGCGACCCCAGGTGGAGGGGAGGTTACATGCGGGAGAGGCACCCCAGCTCGCGCCCGGGGCTGCAGGTGCTGCAGGGGCAGGGCGGGGGGCCGAGCCCAGCCATTGTGTGTGTGTGAGTCGGTGCACTGCGTGCCGGCACAGGGAGGGGAAAGAGGGTCGCTTATGTAACCTCGCAGGTGGAAGGGGGCGAGTCCCGGACAGCACTGGGGGGCCACAGGCAGCAGGCACGGGACGTAGGGTGTGTGGGGCGGCCCCTGAAGTGCAGCGCAGCGGGTTACTTTTTGATTTTTACAGCTTGAGCTCGGGCCCAATAGTACCTTAAAACCTTCTCTTGGATGAAAGGTTCTCCCCTGCAAAGTGTGGTTGCGGTAGCTCTTGTAGTGTCCAAGTTATTAGTGCACAAACTTACAAACATCCTCCTTTATATATTAGATGCTGGGTCAAATCTATGCCTTGTACAACTCAATTAACCTTAATGGAGTTTTACCAGAAATGAATTTTGTCACTTAAATATTATCATGTCTTGTACTTTATTATGCATACCTTGTTTATTCCTTTAAAACTGAAGCTTGCGGGGAACTGGGTTGTATCAAGTACTTGAGATGCTAATCCTGGCTGGTCACCATAGTACAGCCATGGAAGATTCTGTCTCCTGCAAACAGTTATATTTTGTTTTCTTAGTATTTTATGCAAGACAACACACTTGTAATAATTTCAATAGAAATACTGATATTGAACAAATGTGTGAACTGATAAAGTTATAGAAGATGTAACTTACCAGAAGGATATTGAATGAACAGTGCCTAGCCCTGCTGTATTTGCATAGACATACTGAAATAGACCACACGCATCACTAGTGGTAGAGCTCAGTGAATTCATGTTCATCACACACATATTTCCAAGTGCTTGGCACGATGTTAGATTGGAATACAGCTAAAAAGAAAAAATAGTAAAGAAAATTATTGCTGATCGCCACAGCTTTTTGGTATGGCAAAAAATTAGGTAGTTTAATACCTTAATTCATCCCTAAAGCATTCATTTTACTCTGAAGTTTTTTTGCTTTGTTTACACCTAATGTCTTCTTCCAACACACACGCTACATTTATACTTGGATCATGTATGGCAACACACAGTCAGCATTTTCCACTTTTTATATACAAACCATCTTGATTTTCAGATTTTTTTTAATGTTAGGTTAAAATGGAATAGTAATTTCAAAGTTTGGGGTAAAACCTCTTGGTTTTAGAATTCAGATTGCTCAGGATTTACATCACAGATGATTATTTCTCCAAAGACCTAAGTACAAACAATACATATTTAACTTGAGTGAGTTGACAAGCATCATCTATGTCATATTCAGCACATGTTCCACCATATTAAAGATTTAGGTAACACAGGAGAAAGCAGAAAATACAGACTCTGTGATGACTATTTCTGTTCACAGAGATTAAAAGCTCAATGTTAATTGAAAGCCAGTTGGAAAAGCCAGCAGCCAATCATCACTGAAAATTTGAATCAATTATGAATATCATGAAACAGCCAAGATAAGATGACTACTGTTCATAAAGGATTTTTTTTTATTTTAAGTATGCCAGATTTCTATAATTCTACACAAACTCTTTTTTACATTACTAATATCTCTTTGTTAAATTTCTTTTGTTCTAGTCACCTTCTAGGCTTGTATAAAGACCCAAACATAGACACAGGTACACTTGAACCTCTTTAATCTAGCAACCCTGGGAAACAGCATTTGCTAGATTAAAGATTTTGCTGGGCTAGGGAAGGAGTGAGGGAAATGTGGTCTGGGCTGGCAGGGCAGGGGTGAGGAAGAGACAGGGCGCCCGGGGTGGTGTGGCGAGGGAGGGAGAAGGGGCCTTGGCTGCCACAGGAGGAGGGAGAAGGGGGGCCTAGGCTGGCGTGACAGGGGAGGGAGAAGGGGCCCGGGATGGTGGGGCGGAGGGAGAACAGGGCCCAGGCTGGCACGGCGGAGGAAGAGGAGAAGGGGTCCAGGCTGGTGGGGCGAGGGAGGAGGGAGGGAGAAGTGGGGAATGGGTTGGCATGGCAGGAGAGGGAGAGGGAGAAGGGGCCCAGGCTGGCACAGCAGGGGAGCAGGGTGAGAAAGAAGGGACCCAGGCTGGCATGGCAGAAGGAGGAGGGAGAAGGGGGGCCTAGGCTGGTGTGGTGGAGGGAGAAGGGATCTGGGCTGGAGCGGTGGGAGGAAGGAGAGAGGAGGGAGAAGGGGCCCAGGCTTGCACAGCAGGGAAGTGGGGGGAGAGAGAAGGGGCCCAGGCTGGCAGGGGGGAGGGAAAAGAGACCTGTCTGGGGTTACCCATCCCCCATGAGAGGGGGGTTGGCAAGCGCAGCAAGCAGGGGCACAGCTAAGGATGTTAAGTATCGGGTAACTGACTAATCGAATAGTTAATGCATTTTTACATTGACTATTCGATTAGTCGCTAGGGCGCTTCTGCCTTTGAAGTGTAGCAACAGCCCAATTGACCCCGGGATCTGCACAATGCTGCCACTTTGAAATGCCGTGGGGAGCCCAGTGTTGGGCTCCTTGTGGCATTTCAAAGCATCAGCACCGCACAGAACCTGAGGTCAGCTGGGAAGTCCCCAGCTGATCCCGGGATCCATGCAGAGCTACCACTTTGAAATGCCACAAGGAGCCTGACACCGGGCTCCCTGCGGCATTCAAAGCAGAAGCGCCACAAGGAGCAGCTGACCCCAGGCTCTGTGGAGTGCTGCAGCTTCAAAGTACCCCTCCTCTTCTCCTCACCCCTTTGCTGCGTCTACGTTATAGAGGCAGCAAGGGGGGAAAGTGACTAGTCGATTATCCTGTCAACCAGTCCTTCACATCCCTAAGCACAGCCCCCTAGTTTTCTTTAAAAACAAACTGAATACATCAGGTTCAAAAATCAGTGCCATGTAGTATGTATTTCAAGATTTATGAGACCAGATTAATATTTCTTCTAAGTAAAATACAAGGCAAAATTCAAAACATACTCAAAACTTACCCAACAAGCAGCTGCTGATGCTTGTAGGTTTTTTACAAACCATGCTGATATCACTGTAATACCCTGTAAATAAGAAACCATTACAGTATCTGATTTCAGCTACAAACAGATCAATTAATTCAATATATTACAGTCTGGAAAATATGGGATACCAACCGAAAAACCTGGCATTATTTTTCTTACTTTTCTAAGAGTAACACAAGAATGAACACAAGAATGGCCATATTTGGTCAACCCAATGGGTCATTCTAGCCCACTATTGTCATGAATCATGGGTAGTGTAAATGGTTAGCATGAGTACATCAACAGTAAGTGAGCTGAAGAGAGACCATGCTGAGGTGCAGGCAAGAGCCCCGGAGGATTATTATTGGGGTGACGTGCACGTCCAACTTTTGCCTCAACCAAATTAACCAACATTACCTGGGGTCTGACCAGCCCCAGAGGGGGTGTGTGTGTGTGTGTCTGTGTGTGTGTTAAATTGGCTTAAGAATTTGGCTGCTAAATTGGGTTAAGAATTAGATTTAAATTGTTAAGTAGTCCATTTAATTATTGCTTTTAATTCCTTTTTATGCTTGCATTGCCTTTTAATGTCTTTCACTGTTTGTTTTAATTGCTTAAGTACTAAATATACATATTTATATGGTGCTTTTAAAATTTCCTCCTGAATTGCTTTCAATAAACTTGTCAAGAGTACAGTCTGTCTACTGTGGATCTCTTGTTCTGTGAGCCGGTTATAATACACAGTCAGGAGCTCTGCTGGCTTGGCTTGATCACCAGAGCAGCAGCAGCGCCCTCTTGTGACACTATCAGGTCTTCCAACTATATCCAGTGACAGATGCTTCTGAGAGAATGAACAAAACAGGGCAATCGTCAAATAAATCCATATCCTGCCTTCCAGTTCTATCATTTGGCAGTCAGAGGCATAACGACACCCAGAGCATGGGATGTCTGACCCAGCTGGCTAATAGCCACTGATGACCTTATTTAATTTTTTAAAATACTGTTACAGTTTTGGCCTCCACAACATGCCCTAGGACAGTGGTCTCCAACCTTTTTACACCCAAGATCACTTTTTAAATGACAGAACAAGCCAAGATCTATAGCCCCACCCCTTCCTTGAAGCCCCGCCCTCTCTCCTCCTCCTCTCCATCACTTGCTACTCCCAACCCTTATACTGCTGCTTTTTTTTTCCCCCCCAATTCTTCTGTAGGAAGAAGTTTTTCCAACATTTGGCCTGTCTAGACTTGACCAAATGTCAGAAAAAACCCTTCTTTTGGAAGCCCCCTTATTCCTCATGGAAAGAGGAATATAGAGGTGACCGAAAGATCATGTTTGCTCTTCCACTAAAAGATGTGGAAGAACAAACACATCCCTGGATGCAGAAGAGTTTTTCTGGGGTATCTCCAGAATCCTGAAAAACTCCTGAAGTCTAGATGTACACTCGCTGGGTTGAGGCAGGATGTGTAGGCTCCGGGGTGGGAATGAGGGATTTGGGTGCGGGAAGAAGTGAGAGTTGCAAGCTCTGGAAGGAAATCTGGATGCAGGAGGAAGTGGATAAGGGAACGCTGGCTTGGGGAGGGAGTTCCAGGCCGGGGAGTGTTGGGGTCAGATGTAGGGTTAGGGTACTTAGCAAGCCACAGACTTCTGGATGTGAGGGTTCAGGAATTTGGGATGGGGTATGTGAGAGGCTTAGGCAGTGGGTTCCAGTGTATGATAGGCTGAGGTCTAGGGTCTGGGGGAGATCTAGGGTCTGGGGGAAAGAGGAGTGCAGGAGTGTCATGATGCTATGGCCAGATGGGGGCTTAGCCCCAACTGGGGGTTTGTTGGCCAGGTTTCATTGTCAAATAAAATACTATGTCAAAGACAAAAAGTTTCTGCATTGTCTTTATTTCTGAGAAGGGCAGGGAACCTGTATGGACAGGGTGCCGGTGGGGACAGGTTTCTGTGGCTGGGGACGGGAGAGAGGACAGGGTGCTGGGAGGACAGAGGACAAGGTGCCAGTGGGGACAGGTTTCTGCGGCTGGGGACAGGAGAGGGGACAGGGTGCCGGGAGGGCAGGGGACAGGGTGCCAGTGGGGACAGGGTTCTGCGGCTGGGGGCAGGGGAGAGGGAACAGGGTGCTGGGAGGGCAGAGGACAGAGTGCCAGTGGGAACAGAGTTCAGGGAGTGGGGACGCGAATGGGGACAGAATTCAGGGAGTGGGGACAGTTCTGTTGCTGGGGACAGAGTTCGGGGAGTGGGGACAGGAATGGGGACAGCATTCTGTAGTTGAGGACAGGGGAGTGGGGACAGGGGAGTGGGATTGTGAGATCAGTTCTTGTGGGGGCTGTTGATGGATTTAGGCGCGTGCCTCCCGCAGCACAGCCAAACCCCCGCAGGAGCCTGCCCCGCTGCCAAGCCACCTCTCCCATAGCAGAGCCAAACCCATGCGGGAACCTGCCCCAGGGCCAAACCCCACTCCCGTGGCGGAGCTAAACTGCTATGGGAACCTGCCCTGGGGCCAAGCCACCTCTCCCACAGTGGGACCAAACCACCACGGGAGCCTGCCCTGGGGCCAAGCCGCCTCTCCCACTGCGGGTCCAAGTCGTTGCGGGAACTTGCTCCGGGTCCAAGCCGCCTCTCCCATGGCAGGGATAAACCACCGCGGGAACCTGCCCTGGGGCCAAACCCCCCTCCCACCGCATGGACAAGCCCCCACGGGAGCCTCCCCAGGCCAAACCCTGGGGCTGACCCTTGCGCTCAACTCACCCCTCCCAGGGAAGCCACCGCACTCCTCCTTCGGGGCCGACGCCCCTCCCCCAACACATGACAGAGCTGTGGGAGGGGAGCAGCCAGCGCACTTCCGGAGCTCCTGGAAGTGATTCAGGCTTCACTCAGGACTTTCGTCTACCTTGCAGGAAGCCGGCACTACACTAGAGGTAGGTAGTGGGGCTTCTCGGGGGTGGCAGGAAAATGGAGGGTGGGGATGCCCAAATGCCTTGCGATCAACTGGTCGAGGCCTCACGATTGACCACTCGATCGTGATCGATGGGTTGGTGACCACAGCCCTAGGAACAAGTTCTGTAGGTTGACCGTGCATTGTGTGAAAAGGTACAGACACTCCCCAAGTTAAGAACATCTGACTTACAAACATTAGCCCATACAAACCTGCAGCCTCAGAAGAGCAGGCAAGAGGCACAGTGGTGATGAGTGGTGCAAATGTGGGCCAGAGGACTGTGACCAGTCTCATCCCCGAACTGCCTCGCTCACAGGACTTGCACTCAGCCCCAAGGAATGGTGAGAGGAGTGAGCGCAGGCCAAAAGACTCCAGAGGAGCAGGGGGAAGCTACATAGCCAGAGAGAAGGGGCCTTTTTGAAGGGGAAATCACCAGTTCTCTCTGTCTGTCTGGTTGCCCCCGGCTCCTCCAGAGTCCTCCAGCCCATGCTCATGCCACTCGACACCTCCTGGTGAGCAGGGGCTGGACAAAGAGCCCACGGGCAGGAGAAAAGGTCTGGGAGGGGAGCTAGCTACAGGAACCGGCGCAGTGCCTTTGGGGGAGGGGTCAATGCCCAGAATTCTTCTTCAGAATCTCCATCTGCCTCCTCCTCTTCCTCTAATTAAACCTGCCATTCCTCAAACACCAGCATTCAAGATTAAATAAAACAAATATTTCTTTTCTATGGGAAAATGCATGCCAAGTCCCAAACAAGTGACTTACAAACGAACACAATCTGTCTCATAGTTGGGGACTTCATGTATTTCCTTGTCTCTTTTGAGCCAGCTGCCTGTTAATTTCATTGGTTGACTCCTGGTTCTTGTGTTATGTGAAGGGATTAATAACACTTCCCTATTCACTTTCTCCACTTAATTCATGATTTTAAAGACCTCTATCATATCCTCATTTAAAAGAACGAGTAGCCCTGTAGCACCTTAGGGTATGTCTACACTGCCACCCTAGTTCAAACTAGGGTGGCTAATGTAGGCATTCGAACTTGCAAATGAAGCCTGGGATTTAAATATCCCGGGCTTTATTTGCATGTTCCCGGGCGCCGCCATTTTTAAATGCCCCGTAGTTCGAACTCCCTGTCCGCGGCTACATGCGGCACGGCGTAGGTAGTTCAAATTAAAGCTCCTAATTCGAACTACCATTACGCCTCCTGCAATGCTAAAATGCTAAAATTTGAGTAGGTTTCTACCTGTAATACACATTTACTCGCTTAGGTGTTTTGAGAAACCATATACTCTCATGCACAAAAAGATTTTTCCCCATCATTAACCATAGCTTTATGTGTATATGCAATGTCAAATCTTATTTGTGTCCACTTTCCTTTATTTGTACCAATAAACTGATAATAGACATGGTTATTCAGTGTCCTTTCAACCTTCTAGACCTCATCAGCTTGTAGTTGCCTTAACACAAACTGTTAAGTATTAGACCAATAAATCTAAGCCTCCTAAATAACTCTTTAGAAAACTGGCTACAAACTCTATGAAAGGTGTCTAGTTTCTATGGTGCATTAGTTTGATTGCTACCAAAATTCTAGGCTATCTCATTTAAATTGAAAACAAAATCAAGATTTTAAAATAATTACAATGATCACAGTACACATTTATTCTTATCTTATATCTACACTTAACTTTAGACCTCTATATTTTCAGTTTTGAATATGCTTAATGTTAGTAATCTTTATACAGTAAAACTCCAGTGGTCCAGCATCCAATGCTCTGGCACTCCTGATGGTCCGGCACCATCTGGAACCCGGAAGTGCTCCGGGCAGCTGGACAATTGGAGCTGCTCTGCCCCTGGCTTCCCCAATTCAGCCGCTGCTGAAACTGACCAGCAGCTGACT